TCTTTTTAAATTGTTCATTTTTAACATAGAAATGCAACAGATTTTTGTATATATTGATTTTGGATCCTGTAATTTTGCTGAATTCACTTACTTCAAGTATTTTTTTGGAGAGGATATTTGAAGCATGTGTAAATCTTTAGGATTTTCTACAGAAAAAAATCAAATCATCTCCAAACAGATTGTTTTATTTCTTCCTTTCCAATTGGATGCCTCCTTTCTGTTTCTTGCCTCATTGCTCTAGTTAAAACGTCCAGTGCTGTGTTGAATAGAAGTGGTGGGAGTGGGCATGATTCTCTTAGCCCTGATTTTGGAGGAATGGACTATATTTGTTATGGGCTTTTTCTATGTGACTTTTATTATGTCATGATAGTTTCTTTTATTCCCAATTTACTATTTATCATGAAAGCTTGTTTAGTTTAGTCAAATGTTTTTTGGCATTAGTTAAGTTGATCATGTGATTGTGGTTATTTTCCTTCATTCTGTTAATTTGGTGTATCACATTAATCAGTCTGGCAGGTTTTTTTTGGTACCGGAGATCGAACTCTGGTCCTTGCACCTGCAAGGCAGGCAGCAGAACCTCAGCTAAATCCCCGGCCCCTAGTCTGGCAGTTATTTTGTTTTGTTTTGTTTTTGTTGTACTGAGTACTGAGTCCTGGGCCTTGGTATCGAGCCCAGGGCCTTCACATTGAGCTGTGTCCCCGACTCCCACTGCCTTTCCTTTTACTTTTTAATTTTGAGATAGGATCTCACTGTGTTGCCCTGGCTGGGCTCAGAACTTGCAGTCCTCCTGCCTCAGCTATACCTGGCCCAATTTGTGTATACTGAACCATCTTTAACATCCCAAGAATAAATTTTACTTGGTCATGATGTGTAATCCTGTTAATGTTCTAGTCATTGCAATTTGGTCATATATTTGGGGACTTTTGTATCAGTGCTCATAAGGGATATTGATCTGTAGTTTTCTTGTTGTTGTCTTTGTCTGGTGTCAGGGCAAAGTTTGCTCCGTAGAATGAGTTAGGAAGTGATCCTTTCCTTTGATTTTTTTGTTGTTGTTGTTGTTGATGTTGTTTTTGTTTTGGTACCAGGGATTGAACTCGGGACCTCACGCTGGGGAGGTGAACCACTGAGCTAAATCCCCCCCCCTTTTCATTTTTTGATAAGTTTGAAAGGATTAATGTTCTTTTAAGTGTTTGATAGAATTGACCCATGAAAATATCAAGTCCAAGGTTTTTCTTATTTGTTTATTTTCCCAGTACTAGGGATCAATATTTATTTAGGGTTTTTGATGCAAGGTCTCACTGTATAGTTTGGGCTGGCCTTGATCTCACTGTGTAATCCAGGCTGGCCTCAAACTCACAGCTATCCTCCTGCCGAAGCCTCCTGTATGCTGGGATTACAGGCATGTGCCACCATGCCTGGCTCCAAGGTTTTTCTTACTAACTCAGTTTTTGTATTGTATGTCTCTTCAGGCTATTTCTTCTTTTTCAGTCTTGGTAGGTTGTATAT